ATGGGTTAAATAGTAAAACTTTTATGTGGAAAAATCATCTCCAGAAACTTGTTAATTCTTTATTCACCCAGAAAAAACTAATTATTCTTGCAATTCAAAAAATATACATTTTTGGCTTTAAATAACTCTGAGTTAAGTGATTAAAAAAAAAAACAATTAAATTGTTCCTAGCAATGGCTCACGATATATCTCAGATTCTGGTAAGCTAATGTTTACTCAAACACAATAGACTACCAGTACTAGTACATAGCCAGCCTTACTAAGCTTATTATACAAGTGGGGTGCTGAAAAACTCTTGGTTTAGCCAAGAAGTTCTCTCCCATATTCTAACCAGATTTTGGTAAGTGGCTGAGAACACTTCAACACTCCATTCTATAATACAGTGCGCCAGAGTATTAGTGACCTTGTAATCCAGAAGTCACTGCAAGAATTTTTCTGATCATGTCACATCCAAAACATGGCCTCCTAGCTCTCCAGATATGAATTCTCTGGACTATTCCATCTATACATTATGATTGGGACATCCACATTGAAAAGGAAAGTGTCATATTATCTCAATCTCAAGTGTTGCTGTTTTATTACCTGTAGATGGAGTTTTATAAACAGGTCCTACTGAAGAGGAAAAGAACAAATAATTGAAACAATGATGATGAGGATAAGTGACAACAAACCAGATATTCATTTGTTCTGGTTAATGTTTAAGTCAGTCTTTTAAACCTTTTAAGAAAACTTCAGTGATGTGATTAAACTGTGATTTGATAAATATTAGTCAATACATTTTGGTAGTGGAGGTTAAAAAAAAAAAGGTGCACAAATAAAGATAGTTAAATTAAAATGCGATATATTGTTTGGAGAAGAATAAAAAGAAATAAGTTAATCTCAAAATCTTTTTTTTTTCCCATTGAAATAAAACTTCTTCTGCTTTCTTTTGTTAGGCTGAGCAGTAAAATATTAGAGAAATGGCTTCTTTTAAAATAAGCTTTATTTAATTCTGAATTTTCTTCAATCTACAATCAACCACAATATAGATTGAGAAAACTTAGAAAAGCCCAATAAAGTTTTATATATATATATATATATATATATATATATATATATACATACACACACACACGTAGTTAGTTGATTTAATTTTAATTTGACATTTTTATTACTTCAAAGGTTATTTTTAGTGGGCACCAGTGTTTCTAATAAATGTTTTTTTACTTGAAACATTGTGTATTGCAGCTTTACAGTTTTATTGAGTATGTAGGCCAATGAACATAATACACAGTTTAACATAAAAAAAAAAAATGAGGCATCTATTTCAAACGGGTATCCACTGAAAATAACCTTTGAGGTAATATATGTGTGTGCAGTGGGTAAATTGTTGCCATTTTATATTTTTAATTTCACGCATGCGTGTTTGTTTTGATTTTGTCAACTGTACAGTATAGTAGGGTCAGTTGGGCATCATCTGGGATAAAAAGAGCACCATGATACAATTCACTCTGCCAGAAATTTGGAAACGGCCTGCTGTACTGCTTGGCATTCATGCTGGAAGCTCCAATACAAACCATTTCTGAGGACAGTGCAGACGATTCAGAAAGAGTTGCTTGAGTCTAATGGTGATTACGAAGGTTACAACATCTCAGAAAACTCAATCTGATCATTCTGATAAGAAAAGAACTCCCAAACTTGTTGGTGAGGGCCTCAACTGCAGTCTTGGGTCAAGATGGTGGCTGCTGGAAGACTCTGTCTGGCAACAGGACTCTCCACCATGTCTCACTAGCAGGAGAACCTAGTCATAGCTGTTAGACAATTTCTGTAACCATATCACCACTTACATCTGGCCATCTAATTCCCCAGACTGCAACCACCTTGATTATTATGCATGGGGCACAGTTGAGTGAGAGACCAACAAGACTCTTTTTAACACCAAAGATGAACTGAAGGCAAGGATTATGGCAGCATTCGCCAATTTAAACAAGGACACTATCCAGAAGGGATACAGGAGATTCCAAAGTTATCTGGAAGTTGTGGTTGAAGCCAGTGGTGATTTTTATTGAATAAATTTTCTCTTTGGTATTTCAAGATATTTTTGTGTAATTTTGGTAAATATATCTAATAAAATGATAATGTCCATGTTATTTTCATTTTTACATAATTTAGATGATAATTTATCCATCAAACCCTATGGATATCAGGCGATGGACTTATTGATCAGCTCTCAAAAAATACATGCACACACACACACACACATACATATGTTATCTACAGACTATTTCACTGTATCACAGCTCATCAGTGTGGATAGACATCCAATCGATTCAAGCAACCTGACCGATTTGGCATCAGTCACAGATTCTAACCCCTAGATTATCGGTGCCCGGCAGAGAGAGAGAGGCAAAGTTTTGCATATTTATTTTTTTTCATAAACATGCCAGTAACCTAGAGAACTCAATCCGGATGTGTGCTTGTATGCTAATGATAATCTGATGATTGTATATAAGCATCAAACAGACTTTCACCACTGGGTGTTGACTTCAATGTCCACTTCTATGTTTACATACAGTCTATCCATGAGCACTTTAACCCATAAATATAGCATACCTTAAAACTATATTTTTATCATATATATATATATATATATATATATATATATATACACGCACACACACACACACATCATTTGTGGTATTTATGATGGAAGAGTGTTCAGTATCAGAGATAGTTTTTTTTTTTTTTTTTTGGAGATGTAGACAGTGTGGATGTAGGTATCACTACTGCATGTAGACTATCAGTTTCACTCTTCAGTGCAATCTTTATATACTGTACCACTACTACTTTTGTTGGCCTCTATCTATAGGCCACTGCAGGGTTAAGTGAATTTGGAGGGTGAGAAAACCTGCCTTTCCCAGTTTTTTTTTGTTTACTGCTAATACTTTATTTATAGTTACAACCTGTAATCTTTATATTAACCTTAAACAAAATAATTTTCTAACCTGACAAATTACCCAGTGTTGTGTATATATATATATATATATATATATATATAAGAGATAGAGACTCCATAAATGTAGTTGTGACACATGAAGATAGGTTGAGATATGAAACTGGCAGTTGTCATGCAGTGTTGATGCCTATATCTACATTATCTATCTATATAAGCAAGTTTTATTGAAGAGCAAAGACAAAGCTGATCTTAATGATTTTTTTTTGTTATTTCTCATGTTTTTATACAAAATGACAGATGTTTATTTCCAGTGTGTACAAAAATTGCCTGTATGATCTTGCATTTTCAATCATTTTGAGAACATCAATTGTGAAATTTTTGTATTTGTTTTCTTTTTTTTTTCATCATGATTGAAAATGTAAGGACATAGACATCATAATAATTATTATATACACAGGAACATCCATTACTTTGTATGGAAACAAACTTTGTCTTTGATCTTCATATAACTTGCTGCAATAAAAAATAGAAATTAATTTGGTCAAGCACTGTGGGGACAAAACATGAATTTGTAAACAGTGACTATTACTGCTAATAATGCAAGACTCTCCCAAGTGATTGAGTTCTCTAGGTTACTGACATGTTTATGATAAAATAAACACGCAAAAAATCACCATTCTCTCTGCTGGGCACCAATAGCCTAAGGGTTATAATCTCCAACTGATGCCAAATCGGTCGGGTTTCAGTCCCAGCTTGAAGCGATCTGATGTCTAGTAAGACTGATGAGCTGTGATACAGTGAAACAGTCTCTGTAGATGATGAGATATATATATGACAAAGTGGAAAACATTTTCTACTAAATTTGTTATGTTGGTGCGACCACACATGCGCACGAATGAGGAATGCTGGGAATTTTAAATTTAATTTTTTTTTTTTTAATCTGACTTCTTTAAGATTCTTTTTTGTTTCCATTACTTTTGTTAATAAATATCTCACACTGTGATAATAGAAGTTCTGCCAGGAATGGTGAAATGTTGTAAGAGCCAGAGTGCAATTTGCTATCAAGGTCATCTACAGTAAATCTGTGTCCTGAGTAAAATAACAGGACAGAGAGTCTAGAAGGACAATTCTGATTTCAAAACTTGAGGGTTGGACCAGTTCTCTGTATTCACTTCTTTCAAAAAGCATGGTTGGTTTTCTACAAGCCTTCACTACTATAATTAAAACTATATATGCGGGTAGTCTGGCTGTTATAATGAACTGACCTGCTGGTTTCTCATATGTTGAAAATGATGAGAGAATCCAGTATATATAAAGTAATGTTTCACTTTTAAAGATGGAATAATAAATGCACAATGTAATGAAAATTTCTAGGTAGCAAAAAGGCTTCCAGAATATTAAGAATAATATAATTCTTTTTGTTCTTGAAGAGAATCTGCAATTTTGAAATAATCCTGACAATGCTTGATTGATCTCTTCCTTTTGAAATGTTTACCACTAAACAATTGTTCAACTGATGCTTAGCTAAGCAGACATAGTAAAATATCCCAATGATTTGACATTCTCTTTTTAATGAGTGTCAGATTGTATGGCATTCTAAAGAATGACTGTTTCTGGCATGATTATCTGCCTAATAAGGTGTTGGTCTTCCATCTTTCAGCAAAGATTGTGTTGTATTTTGTGACACATTCCTCCTTTCACCTTACTTAAAACTGACTGTAGTTTGTGCACAGTAGCCTTTCTTTCGGAGGCTTGTGCTTGGTGGGAAAGTCTTCATTCTTAAGACATAGCTGTCCAATGTCTTTTTGATTGTTGTGATTTTTTCCCTTCTCCTTAGACTACTGCTGATAATTATTTGTCACATCTGAGTATGAACATTTGACAAGCTGTAGTTGTTTTTTTTTTTTTTTTTTTTTTGGAAATGTACCAACCCAGTCTTTTGACCATGTCATTTTGGTCTTTATCAAAGTCGTTCAACTTTTACCCGTGAGCTTATGCCTATATAACATTGAAACACCAATTCTTATATGCTCCTCAAAGTTAAGCAGCTTCAAGCCTGGTCAGCAACTAGGTGGATAACTACTCGGAAATCCCATGTGCTGTAAACTTGAATATGTGGGTGGTGTAATAGATAATGTCTCGGAATTGGAAATCAAAGAGCCGAGTTCCAATTCCATTTGGCTTTGTTATATTTGCTTATGTGCAAATACCCTTGGAAAAGTATTAATTTATCTTTTCTCTTCCCCAGCTATGGGTTAATTAGTAGGATTTATATCAATAAAGCATTATTATCTCCCACAAACATTTCTTACAATCTCAAAATATTTTTTGGTTTTAAATATCCTGCAAAAGGTTGATAAAAAGGTTGATAAAAAAAACAAAACAACAACAGATCAATCCATCAGTCTTGCCCATTACTGCATAATTTAACACATCAAAATGTAGTACTTGACATTGGCTAAGCTATTTTTTTTTTAAAAAAAAAACCCTTTCACCCTAAATAAGGCAGTAAAAGCCACTAGGATTTACTGAAAGTGAAATAAACAGGACAGTAAAAGAACAGGATTCAAGGAGACAGAAGATGACAATTGACATTGCATTAAAATTTTTGAAGATTCTAGATGACAGGAAACTAGGATGTCTGAAGAGTTTCACAAATGAAAAGTGCAAGGGAGGAAACTATTAACATCTGACCCTAACATATGCATTTCTTATAAGACAGTAACTGGTTATAATGTTTTGACCTTCCACTTTATAGTTAACCAAATACACTCAAGGTAATTTATGTTCAAGAGACTAAGAGAGTAAATATTTCTCCTTGTTTTATTCTATATATAACTCTCTTTAGAGAGAACTATTTTTGGTCATGATGATCTTTAATATCTGAAATTATTTCCTCACATGACTATCCTAATATTTTTTTCCTCACCAATTCTGTTCAGCTTTTATAATGTAAACATAGACAGTCTTAGTTATAAAATTGATATTTTGATTTTTTTAAAAATTCAAAGATCTAAGAATAATCAATGATCTTTCAATTTGAAGATAAACATGTATTGTTTTAAAATTTTTCCTTTTGTATTTTACTGATTGTTTTTTTCTTTCTTTAGGAATGAAATGGAGTTGATTTGAATTATTAAAACGTTCTTTTTCTTGTATTATCAGATTGTTCTTTGTTTGCATATAAAATTTATTCAATGTTCTTGGGAATATGGAAATATTTCTTTCTCTTCCAGCTGCAGCCTAACAGTGCTTCTGGATCTGGTGCCTTGGAACATGACGCAGCATCCCTATATTCTCGTGCACAACCGGTAAATTGCTTAAATTACTGATAATAGCAAAATACACCCATCCTGTTTGGTGATGGTGGAGGCAACTCAAAGCATTATTTATTTCAATTATTTTTAAACATTGACATAAAAAATGTCATTATCTCTCTCATAAAACTGTGTCTGTTTTGATGATCTAGACCAGGGGTTGGCAACTCATTCGACCCCGCAGACTGGATCATGTTATAACGATGGGTCGCGGGCTGGATGAAGGCCATTAATGAAAAATTAAGGAAAATTACATATGCAGACCCCAGTCAACCTAAATGTTTAAAACCATAATGAAAATAAACATTGAGAAATCAGAAAAACAAAAGAAAATCCAAAATTAAAAAACACCTAACAATAATTACTTTTCCTCAAGGAACGTCAAAATACTTCAAAGTGAAATGGATGAAATTATGACATGTAGGTTTGAAACTGTTATTGAAAATTGTTCCACAAACGAACCACACACACACACATCAAACAAAAACGAAGCACATATACCCATACATACGAGTACAAATAGTTACAAACATATACACTTACGTACGTACACATGCGGTATCATCCACACATTCATGAGGCATATATGTATAATGCGCATATGTTTAACTGTCTTTAGATTTCTGCTACCTCACATATCAGTCCCTCCCTGGCCTCTTTCACTTTATCGTTCCTTTCGCTTCTGTTATCTTTTAATATAGTCAAGGGTCATAACAAATATGTATCCATTATTTGACATTAACGTAGGCAATGCAACTTGGTAAAATAAGTCTCATGAAAGATAACTGGCAGATAGTCTAATTCGAAAGCCTCGTCTCTCATTTTAAAAATAGTGATTGGTAATCAGGCTTGCAGGCCGGTCAAAATGCCTTCGGGGACCAGATCTGGCCCATGGGCCGTAGGTTGCTGACTATTGATCTAGACCAATGATTCTCAAACTCTCTGATATGACTGACCGGCATTTTTTTTTTTCTCAATGTGTCACATCCCTTTAATATTTTGTGGTAATATTAATTTATACCAGAAACAATATATATAATGAATATAATAAAAGTTGACTATTTTTTTTTATCTTCCATTTATTTTGCAAAAAATAATTTAATATCAAAACATAAAAAGTAATAAAAAAAATAAGCAGTTTAACACAAAAACAAAAATTATATGACCTTAATTTTTACAAATGATTACCTTAGCATGGCCTGGACACGGGCCATGTAACGGTAGCTGTTGGTTCATGTACTGACACCAGTCTGCAGACTACTACTTTGAGAAGCAGTGATCTGGATGGCAAAGCATTTAAATGGATAGAAACTCAAAAGCACGTCCACCCTTCCAATTAGTGGCACCTATGTGTATAACTGTACTGTATTTCATATTGTATTGGTTTTGTACAATAAACCTTTCTTCTATTATCCACCTGGTGTTAAGTATTTATTCCCTTAGCATGGAATATAAGTTAGAAATGGTGAGTTTGTGTTTCCAAAGCTCCAAATAGCATGTCAATAATAATAATTATAAGAGTGGTTTTTCTCAATAAATTTTTGTGAAAATTTCTTTAGCATTTTGACACTAAACAACCAAAATCTGAATTTGTTCATTGATACCATTTTTTGTGCTGATAATCTTTTATATGATATTAGGTCATGAACTTATTGAGATACTTTCCTTTCATATATGTAAAAACAGCCAACCTTATCAGCAACAAAAACTCTCCAGCAAAATCCAAACTATATAGAGACCACATTATTTATTCAAATGCTCAAAATGGAACTGTATTCCTGATGAAAACAAATTTATGAATAATTGCATAAGAAATACTACTATTTGTTTATCAAGATAGCTGACCTTACATCTCTCAGATAATAGCTTTATAAGGATCCATTTAAATCAGTACAAAAACATTGACTTTGGTATGTAAAATACTTATAAAAAATTCTAACATAATATATACTTTTAACTGTAAAAAAAAAGTCTACAAATAATAGAAGCCATCATAAAGTTAAAACTAACCCATAACAACATCAATTATGAAGACAGTTATAATATACTGGCCATATTCAGAAATTAAATACAAGCTTATATCTCATCAACCTGCATACTATTTGCAAAAACTCAACCAAAATAATTGGAAAGAGCTAATAGATTAGCTGAAAGCACTCAGAATAAACAATTATTTTGGGCAATATATATATATATATATATATATATACATACCCATACAAGAAAAAACGCAATAAAAAGAAAATGTATTGTGACTGGTGCAATAAAAATAACTTTATCTAACTTTATCATTTACATAACTTTGTATCTGAGTTAACGATTTTATAGAATACTTTAAACACAAGTATTTATATAATATCTACAAATGTAGATATCCTTTGAACATTATTTTATAGCTATTATTTTGTAACATCATTTTTCGTCCTGGGTATGATGATAAACTATGTCCAACAGCAAGGCCTCTGAGCAGAAGGTTTTGAGGCAGTATGGAACCACCTCTTAATTGCTGGTGTTCCCAGGTCCACCCTGACCTAGGGTGGTAGCACCTGTTAGGGTCCAAGATATGGGTAAATAGTTAACCCCACAAAGTGCGGTTAAAACACTATGAAAGTGTAAAATAGGTTTTAATACCAGAAATACTTTGTGAAAAAAAATTATTACCAGTAATACATTGTTGGAAAATATTACCAGGTATACATTTAAAAAAAACATCATTTTACATCTGTTTTGTAACTATTTTGTAAGTATTTCGAACATCATTTTATGGACATAATTTTATAAATCTCAGAAATTGCAACAATATATTTTTTTTCTTTTTAATTGTTTTTATTTTTGTTTTTTTTATTCACACAGGGTGATCCTCCAATTCCTGGTCCTCTGCCACTGGGGGTAGCTGTCATTGACAGTTCTGTGCGTCTGTATGGCCTTGTCTTCTACAAAGTGGCACATAAGCACCGTTATCAAATGCTGCAACACTTCAACGAATGCATAAAACAGGCTAAGTCCTCACGGCAGCAAGCCGTACAAATGAACATTTTCACTGCGGTGCTCTGTGCTCTTAAGGTCAGTATTAAACAAGTTATGAATTTATCTCTTTTGCCCAAATTAGCTTTGTATTTTGCAGATTGAAGGTGGGGATTAAAAATATTGTGTTGCACTAATCTCCCAAATGGTCAAATCAGGATTATGTTAATCCAAGTAAACTACAGGGAATCTAGAATATATCATTTGTTTGATAATTACTTAATCTTTGGCCCAGTGGGGGATAAATTAAGGGAGGAGAATATTGTAGGACTATTCCATTATTATTGTAGGACTATTCCATCTTGACTGCAAGGGAACTTCTAACACCTGTTAGGTGATGTTGTCTAAAACAATATAAAAGAGGAGAAAAATTCTCTGTCTCTTTCCTTTCTCTCTTCAAACCTAAGCTTTTATTTAGTCCATATCGGGTAGATTGTTCTAATTCCACATGCCATACCTTTGGATATCTCTGTTTCAGTTCATTTCCCTTGGTAACTCAACTCTCCAAGTTTTTGTTCCCACTGCTGTGGCCAGGTATTGAACTCATAACTCTTTGGGTCAAATCACTTTTTGATCATTCAACCAACACTTTTATCCACTGGATCATGTGTCTTTGTCCATGGACTAAATAAAGGGTTCAGTTCGAATTTCCAGTTCATATGTCAACATCATCAGACAAGTTCAATACAACTTACACCCATATTGCATTGGAACATTGGTTCCCGTAAAATTGCCAAAGTTAAGCAATGTCAAGCCTAGTCAGTACCTAGATAGGTAACCGCTTGGGAATACTGGGTACTGTAAGCTTGGATGTGCAGGTGCTATAATAGATAATGGCTCGGAATTGTTAATTGGTGAGCTGAGTTCCAATTCCAGTTGGATTTGTTATATTGACTTACATGCAAATACTCTTGGAAAATGTATGAATTCATCTCTTTTTTCCTCCCAGCTATGAGTTAATTAGTAAATCTTTTATCACTAAAAGAAAAAAATTCATACAATCTAAAAAAAAAAATTAAAAATAAAAAAATACCATAATTCCCCATCTATAATATGCTCTCATCCATAATATGCACCCCTAAAATTGTACTGAAAGTGTGGGAAAATGCTTCTACTCACACATAATACATACCCCTTATTTGGTAATCAAACACTATAAATTGTACCTCTCCAATTTCATTACTGCCAGCGTTTCCTACTCTTATTTAAAAAAATGGTTTTACACATAGAATAATATTATTCTAATTTAGTTTTATGATAATTCTTATTTTATTTTACATTTGTAAATATTGTTAGGTACATGACATCCTTATGGAGTTGTAATTGCCGAATGTTAGTGTCAAATTGTTGTACGTTTATGGTGAGTAGTAATTTTGCAACTGAAATTGACCTATGAAATCACAATTTTTAAAGGTATTTTGTAGCTGTGAATAATACGCACCCCTAATTTTGCTTATTATTTTTTAGAAAAAATGCATATTATAACATCAGGAATTATGGTATTATTGTACCTTGATTCATTTTGGCTTCTCTAAACAATTCAGTTGAGAAATTGCTTTATTTTTTTATTTTTTTCTCTTACAATAATTATGAATGTTGTAATGGAATGTCCCACACTCCCTATCACCTATGTGGACAGACTATATCAGTGGCTATATATAGTGAGCACAGCTTACAAAAATGAAAAAAAAAATTTCCTTATTCATTTACTTTACAATGTGCAGATATATTATAAGCAATAACCTTTTAAAAATGTGTTTACGGTCACATCATGTTGAAACTCAAGTTCCCATACAATCACCAAAGTTAAGCAATGTTAAGCCTGGTCAGTACCGAGATGGGGTAACTGCTTGGGAATCTTGCTGTAATCTTGGAAATGTGGGTGGTATAATGGATAATGGCTCAGAATTGTTAATTGTAGAGCCAAGTTTCAATTCCCATTAGGTTTGTTATATTAATTTAGGCAGAAATACCCTTGGGAAAAGTAATAATCCACCTCTTCTTTCCCCAGCTATGGGTTAATTAGTAAAACTTGTATCAGTAAATCATTATTATCTCCCAAAAATTCTTACAATCTAAAAATATTTTCTGGTTTTAAATAACCTGCAAAAGGTCGATAATCCGTAAAAATGAATTGATCAATCAAATCCAATAGTCTACTCTATATAAATAGGCAGTTCACTCATCTGTATAAAGTGGAGTTTCCTAGTGACAGAGAAAAGTGTTATACTCACACATACATTACATTTTATATATGTGAGTTAGTTTTCTCTTAGCAAGTTGCTTAATTACATTAGACACAAATTTTTATGCATGCTTTTTTTATAATTTGCGATAACATTTATTTCTCACGACATCAGAAAGAATTCTTTAATCTATTTTTTGCATGATGTCTGAGATGTGTAATGTTTGTTTATTTACTTTTATCTAAGTACCATGTAATGAAAGGTAATCTTTTAGTTGCATTGAAAAAGATTTAAAAAAAAAAAAAATGAATTCTCATGTTTATTTTCATTCATTTTTTTTTTCCTCCTGTTTTATCAGAATCTTGCTGATACTAAAACTAGCCTGGGGCCTGATGATGTGAAAAAGGCAGCTTTTAATTTGATCATGGTAAGACTTAGCACTTTCCTTTTCTTTGAACTATTCTTCTTTCTTTTCTTTTTTTTTTCTCTCTCATTATTCTGTGTTTTAGTGCCAAGTTGTGGAATGTTGGTAGTCAGACATTCAACATATTTTTATCAGAGAATTTCTCACCATTTCAGCTCTACTAAAACTTGTATCTCTTCTACTGTTACATAAAATAAAAAAGTCTGGCATATATATATATATATATATATATATATATATATATATATATATAGAGTGTGTGTATATTTAGGCAGCATTTTTTCACTGATGCATATTTCATTAAATAATATAGACAAGTTTTGTCTATTTTATGTAAATTCTTTTCGTATTATAACCATTAAAAGAAGGAAGAAAATCACAATATTGATATATATCCTATCTAAGCTTTCGGCTTACATAAGCCATTATCAAAGATGACAATTACATTACAATATATTAAGCAATACACGGACAAAACAATAATGATTGTTTATGTTTACATGGAACATTTCCAAGCAACGACAAACTTGTGCAATTACCTCCAGGTGTTCCGAAATAGCCAAAGAAAAATTGAACACCCTTAACAGCAACAAACAGGACATCTACGATAAACTAAAAGATATGACTACCCCAGACCAACTGGAGGAAATTGCACGAGTTTGTCATTGCTTGGAAATCTTCCATGTAAACATAAACAGACTATCATTATTGTTTTGTCCATGTATTGCTTAATATATTGTAATGTAATTGTCATCTTTGATAATGGCTTATGAAAGCTGAAAGCTTAGATAGGATTAAAAAATATGTATCAATATTGTGATTTTAAAAGAATTTACATAAAATAAATAGACAAAACTTGTCGATATTATTTAATGAAACATGCATCAATATATAAATATAACTCCAAGGAAATAATCTAAGGTATAAAATGGATTTAAAAAAATGAAAAATCTTTCTTATAACTTTTAGTTTTAATTTCAAGCTGATAGATTAAATTTAATATTTCCAATAAGCAAAATACTTTGTATTTCAAAACTAATTTAAATTGACTGGGCGACAAGACTTTTGGACCACCCTGTAGAATGGGATATAATGAAAAAAATTTAAAAAAAAACAAAAAACAGGAAGAAATTGAAATCTATAGATGAAGGAGAAGCAGAAAATGGAAAAATTCAAGAATGTGAATGGTTTAATAAAACTGTCAGCACACTAAACATCTACCAAAAATGGACACCATCACTTGACAAGACACCAAAAGTGTTGAAACAAAATGGCAGTTTTTGTAGTGATGTTATAACATGCTTATGTTATAATTTTTAAATATATATATATATGCATGCTATATTTATAGGTAAAAGTGCTCAATATTTGGGATAGAGCTTGTGTAAATATAAGAGTGGTCACTGGAGTCAACAGTTCATGTTTGCATTCAAAGATGAAGCACTCATCACTTGTTCACCTCAGTATCCATTCATATACAGGTTGGCGCTGATAAACAGTGGTAGTTGGGGTGCAAAACTTCTGTCCAGTTTAGATCAAAAGTGAGCTGTGATGTCAGGATTGCCAGCTTAGGCCAACAAAACAAAGCTTGTCAAGTCCATGGAGCTATCCGTGAAAATGGGTAACACAGTGGCTAAGCATGTAAAATGTGTATTCAATACTAAGAGTTGAATATTGGCAGTTTTGAAAAACATTTATTAAAACTATCCTTTTAATTTCACATAAAAAATCTGCACCAATGTGAATAAATTTGAAAGACGACGACCTAAAATGATTTCAATTATAAAGCGCCATGTCAATAAATCCATCATTGATGGCAGCAAAAGTTGGCGGAAATCTCGTACGCAGGAGATTTTAACATTTTAACAAGAAAAAATAAAACCTTTTTTTTTTTTTTTTTATAGATTTTTAAGATTTTGAATAAAAACATTGCAATACATTGTAATGTATTAATTAATACTGTGCAAAACTTTAATTTTTGCCTGTATTTACACAAAAATTTAATGTAAGAGGATTTATGGACTTTATGAAACTTTTTGAAAGTGTTGAAAGATGTTATTTGGCTGCAGTGGTGGCCTCCATTAATAATCCTTATTAATAATAATAATATAAAATATATAAAATGGCTCTTCTCTGGATATTATATAAATTATTTGGAAAAGCACATTATCGATATTAAAGCAGAGCCCGTTGAGTAAATATGTGAAATTTTAAGTTAGGATAAAAGTTGTAAGCTGCATATTTCACACTCAAAATGTCCATGAAGTGCTAATCCAAAACCATTACACAATTGTGAGTGTGAAATGCCAAAGCCTAAATACTTGGGAAAATATGGATATACTGAAGGTATTAAAACTCAATTTAATGAATTTATTAAAATAAAAGATTATACAGAAAAAAATTCAAACTTTAAAAAGTGTCAAAATCAAGTTTGAATTTGTTTCAAATTGGGATCCACTTATGATTATGATTCTAATATGAACATGACAAAAAATTTGGGGGCTCATCTCGCATACATGGCTTAAGCGACTGGTGCTCGGCTTAATGGCACTGACCTGTGTGTGTGTATATATATATATATATATATATATATATATATATAGGTTCATAGCCAAGTGGTTAGAACATTTGCTCTCTGACCATGAGACCCGAGTTCGAATCTCACCACGGATGATTTGTTAGGAAGGATACTTTCTGATGTTGTCAGTCTGGAGGGGGACATCCCAGCATGTGGCACCTTTGTAAAGTGCCTGAAAACTATACCACGGGTTGACACAAGCCTTGTGAGTGAAATAGGGTAGATGGAACACTTGGGGATGTCGATAGCTGTGTTAGCATGAAGTCACAAGTCATTGTGACCGAGGGTTTGAGTGTGCTGGCCTTGTTCAAATTGTTGATCATGCTAGATAACATGTTCTCGTCCAGAAACTATAAGGTCTGCTCAGCATAGTTGCAATATAAACCACAGATGGGCTCTGTGGGTGTTGAACAAACACGAATGTGCCTGAGCGAGCGTCTGCAATAGGGATTGGCTATCTGCCCTAGTAGACAGGTATACTTGAATATAAGTGGCCAGCTATATATATATATATATATATATATATATATATATATATGACAAGCACACTCTTGCCACTTTATGACTTTTTTTTTTTTTAAATATTTGCACATTAAAATATTTCTATCCTTTCCTATGAAAACCTATAATGAATTTATTTTCTTTAATCTTTATTTCCTGTTTCTTATTTTCTTTTTCATCAATTTCAGGGAGCTTTAGGGAGTTCCAACCCCATCCTTCGATGCGCTGCTGGTGAAGCTCTTGGTCGAATGGCGCAGGTGGTTGGAGATAGCAGATTCATTGCTGAAATGGCACAGTATAGTTTTGATAGGTAAATCTCAACACAAATCTTATTCCATCAACTTTCTCTCCGTTTTTCACTCTCTCACCACATCATTACCATTATTCAGGCACTGCTGATTATTTATGGCTTATTTGTTTAAATATTGCACTGATTATTGTTTGTGTCATGTGGCTATAATTATAAGTAAAATGATGTGCTAAAATAAGTAACCAAGTAATCATTTCAAGTTCTGAATATTTATGATGGATCACTAATGAAAATAAAATAAGCCTTCAGCAATATTTGAATTTACATTCTTTAATCAACTGAAGAGAAAGAATCAGTTTCCCTAACCAAGATTTTCTGCTGAGGAAGGTGATGAAACCTCCAACAAGATTAAAAACAAGACCTATCAAAGGGTGAGTGAACTTTCTTGCGGGGTCAATGGCTGTTTAGCACAATGTGGTAAACTGGACCTCTATAGATATGAATGCACTGATGAAACTGCATTGCTTGGCAGAGAGCTTTCTTAACTGAAGTAGTCAGTTTCAGAGTTCCTCTGAAGGAACCAATGGCCATGTGTCTGTGACCAAGGTGAGTCTTCAAGTTGGAGGACATCAGCTGAGTCTTCAAGTTGGAGGACATCAGCTGAGTCTTCAAGTTGGAGGACATCAGCTGAGTCTTCAAGTTGGAGGACATCAGCTGAGTCTTCAAGTTGGAGGACATCAGCTGAGTCTTCAAGTTGGAGGACATCAGCTGTGGTTTGACCTGGAGGGTGATGAGCTCAACTTGGTTTACTTGCCCAAGACATGCTAGATGAATGAATACCTAATAAGCTTTCAACATAAGTATGTGGAGGGAACTGATCAGGTGCTTAGCTGCACAGCTACCCTATGAACACATCTGGTCATGGGACTGGTGGTGATGATGATTTTGAAGCCTGTCTTGCTATGATGGCCTCATTACTGATTTGGCCATGAATTTTTTTTATTGGTATGCTTTACTTGAATAAGCCATATGTAACTATCTTGTTTATTTTGGCATTTTTATTGAAAATTTATATTACTGTAAACATATTCTTACCTTTTTCCTGTGTTGCGTTATAATAATGCTTGCATACAAAATTTCAAAACATCTGAGAAATATGAATCTAAAGCATATTCTTATTCAATTTTTCCTACTTACACTATTTATATCGTTTGGACTGCTGTCCTCATCTTTATTATCATATTCACAATGTTTCAGTCGTTGTCCACTCTGGCCTTCTTCAGCTGATATATGTTGGAATTTTGAAACAAACCCTTTATTTAGTCTGTGGATGTAGATTGTTGAAATTCCATGTGCCATGCCTGCCTTGGATATCTGTTTCTGTTAATTCCTTTTAGTAAATTGACTCTCCAAATTTTTGTTTCCTCTGCTGTCGCTACTCCCAAGCCTTTGGACTAAAAGGATTTGATTCAAAATTCCTACATGTATCATCTGAAGAAGGCCATAGTGTACAACAGTTGAAACATTGTGAATATGTTAACGATGATGAGAACAGTTGGAACAATATAAATAGCGTAAATAGTTACAATAGCACTGTTATATAGGAATAAAGTATTGCTGGCAACACTTGAGTTTGAACATAGATCACTAGTAAGCAAACACAGGCGATCCGATTATTGAATAAAGTGGATCATTTGACCATGGGAGAAATGCATAAGTAGGAAGTTGTGTGATGTCTAAATGATCATTATTTCTATACTATACGGATCTGCATTTCTAGTCTATCATCTATTACTATTCAGACTCTGTCCTCTATTACTATATGGATTACTATTTGAGCAAGTATTATTGAACAAGTACTACTAGTGTGAGTAATATTCAAAGGTGCTTGACACCAGTATTGTTCAACAGTATTACTATAGTTGTACCTGAGATTACAAAGTCTCTACTACAGCGAGCATTACAAAATTGACGTGTGTTTCTTGACATTACAAAAGTGTCAACAAGTGTGTGTTGACATCACAAAAAGCACCTTTCAGAAATATAGATAGATGTTACTTTTTCTTTTTATTATTATTATCTTATCATGCTTACCTTTGTTTTTGGCATGCCTTTAGGGGATCAATTTACATGGCAAATGGAATTTTCCTCTTAAAACTTAGAAAAAGATTTTATATCATGATCTGGTAAGCTTAATTGATAGGAATATGAAAAAAAAAGATTATTTGGTGCATTTCTGTAGAAACACTAATTTCTTTCATCTCTACTGCATTGCTTTGTTGTAAGATCTTAATGAGGTCAATGATTCATCTAAGAAATTCATAGATACTTACTATATTTGTCTGCATATAAAGCACCCTTACTTTTCATCATTTGTTTCATTTTTTTAAATAATCTTCCATGTTTTATATACTATCTGGCCGTCTAATGTTTACTAAATGCCAATGTTAGGGTAGGATATGAAAAACATTAAAAGAAGCAAATCTTTATTCAAACTGACAAGGGTTCTCTAAGGAGGTAAGACTACGCATGAGGAGAAATTGAGAAAGTTTATATTTAGTACATGGTGGGGGAGAGAAATCTGCTAAGATTGGCTAGTCTTCAATTTCTCTTATATCATATTGGTATTTAAGAACTGTTTTCATTATTTTACATTTTTATTGGTTAATTCCTGAATCTTAGTATTTTTGTTTTATATATATATATATATATATATATATATAAACACTCTGAATGATAAATGTTAAATTTTATTACAAAAAATATACCATGATTTTTTAGAGCAGAATTACAAAAACATATTAAAGGAACTAATTCTTTGTTCATACTGACAAGTGTTTCCTAGGCAGGATAACTGAAGAGAAATTCAAAGAGTTTATATTGAGCCCAGGGCTGAGTTCACTTTTACCTGCAGGTATGATTAACCTCCTGCTGCTAATTAGAATCTGTGTGTTGGGCGGAGTGGTGTTGAACAATTAATATCAGCTGACCTTCAATTTTTCTTTCTACCATATTGTTATCTAAATCTAACAGCCAATCTTTGTAAGATTATATTAAATGTAAATAGTTTGGTGACTTATATACCATAATGTTTTTTCCTTATCTTTTCAAAGTATCCATGATAGATTAGTGAGCTTACCACTAATCATTCAAGAACACCGAAGGCATATTTTCTAACCTACATTCTTTTTGCAACAACTAGTTAATATACCAAATGGTTCAAAAGTTATCATATACAGGTATAAAATTTCTTGCATACCAAAGCTTCTGTTTACCAATCATGACCCAATGTGACCTACATCTTGAAATTCAACTCAGCATTCTAAGACTTGGTAGATACAGAAGTTATTTCAAGGCAGCTTTGGCTCAAACCACACCTTGCAGTCATATCTTAACTAGCTAGAATGCTTCTGCTGCTCATGGGTATTTTGTTTATTTTTTTAGTGATTATTTTTTTGAGTGAAAGCAGAAAATATTAAAAAGCTGCAGATCCTCCCCCCATGGGTAACAATCTGCTTGCTTATCCTAGATATGGTGCCTGTACTGCTATTCGGAAATCTAAATTTTCTGAACCCCAGGTGTTTTGCTTAAGAGATTTATATCAGGAGCGAGAAAACACTTGTCTAACAAACATTAACTTCATTTACAAAATATATACTCCATGATTGTCTTTACTTCCAAAGCGCATTCAGGTATCTTTCTCCTCTTTATCGGGATTTTGTGTTAGCATAAATAATTTATCCTTAATTACATTTTGAATGTGTTCTAAGTGATTCAGATTTTATATCTTTTCCTGGTATTCCATCTCCTCTTCTATGTGCCATATTCCTTCAGGATGTTGGTGATCATGGATCTCCACAACTTCCTGTCCTTTTGTTGCAACCTAGTGAAGGTTACTGAATAGAATAATCACATGATGGTTGGTAATGAACGATAATACTTAGGACAAGAACAACACATATAAGATTCACCAGCAGCATGTAGAAGTAGTCAACTGCTAGAAGTGAGTCATTTGAATTCCACAATGAATCTCCAACTGCCAATCAACATACAGTATTTACTACTCTATTTATCTGAATGGGGATATACCCATTTTTGTCCGTAGGTATGCTACAACACTTTTGTAGCCCTTAGTAAAGTTATTTTTTTTTTTTTTTGCTATATCTCCTAATGCCTGTTTTGTTAATCAAGCTTGTTAAGTAAGTTTTGTGCTGCTTACTGTTGTCCCTCTTGCCTTCATTATGTCCCATGAGTACTAAATTCTCCAAGCCCCCTTTCCTCATTATATTCCTTAGAAATGTCAGCTCTTTCTAATGCTATGTTTAAGTCTGATTTTTGTTTACATTTTTCTAAAACTTCATTATTGCTCATGTGTTCAGTCCATGGTATTCTCAGCATCCTTCTATAGCACCACATTTATGTTGCCTTAAGTCTCTTCTGCATCATTGATGAGATGTTTCAGCATTCACTGCCATATAGGAGTACTGATATTGCATAACAGTTCACTCTTTTCTTTGTTTCCATAGAAATTTTCCTGTTTGTTAATACTTTGATTAACTTTTAGAAGGCATCTTTTGCTATCCCAATGCGCCTTTAAATTTCAGTGTTGCATTCTCTGATAAAATACTTCCAAGGTATTTAAATTTTTGCCCTTGTTTAATTTTGGTATCTCCAGTTTCTAATTTGCATGTTGGGTTGTCCCTTTTGCTGCCAACCATACATTGTCTTACAATTGATGTTTAGTCCTTTCTTCTCGTTTTCCTTTACTACCATCTGTAGGAGTTCCTGTAGTTTCCTTTCTATATCTGCTATGAACATTGTGTCATCTGCATATCTAATGTCAAGATTGTGGCCACCAATAATAAATCCTGGTAGGACTTCTAATTCTCTCAGAAGTGCTTCACTGTAATGGTTGAATAAGTCTGGCAAGAAGAGATATCCATGTCTTATGCCCATTTCTATTTTTGAATATTTACTGAATTCATTTTTCTGTCTGATTTGCTCTCAGTATAAGTTCTGGATTATTCTAATATCTTTTCCAAATAAATCCAGTTTTCCTAACAGTTCAAATAGTTCTTTGTGTTGTGCATGATCAAACACTTTCGCATAATTTATAAAACATAGGTATATGTTATTCTGCATTTGTATTGTTCTTTCTGAGCATAAATATCACATTCCTCATTCCAATGTCATTAATGAAACTGTACTGTTCTTGTCCTATTTCCAATCTAATTCTGCTACAGGCTCTGTTCATCCAAATTCGGATGATAAGTTTCATGTGGCTCATAAGGTTTATTATCTGATGGAGCTTGCTTCTGGCTTTTTAGGCAGTGTTATGAAAAATAGATCTATTAAGGTCGTCTGGAATGTCATCACTGTTGTATATTGGCTGTTCGCATAGTTGTTGTAATACTGCATATTACTATCAAATTTCCTGTCTATTTTAGCTCTTAGTAAAGTTTCTTTTTGTTATCCTTCCTAATCCCTTTTCTGCCATTCATTTATACAAGCTCATTAGGTACCTGCTTTCCTCTGTCCTTCTTACCATCAAAATGCTCTGTGAGTGTCAAATTTTCCAAACCCTTTTTATAATAAGGTATGTGCCCCAGATTTTTAAATTCCGCTTTCTGATGCTTATTTCATTTTCTTTAAAACTTTCTTTGCTCACATTCTCAGCATCCTTCTGTAGGTAGACATTTCTTTTGCCTCAAGTTTCTTCTTTATCTGTGAGGAGATTGTCCAGCATTCACTGCCATATAAGAGGACCAATATTACATAACAGTTCAGTACTCTTTTCTTTGTTTCTAAGGAAATTTTCCTGTTTCATATTACTTTGTTTAGATTTTGGAAGGCATCTTTTGCTATACCAATGCACCTTCTACTTCTCTTAGGAGTACCTCACCGTAAATGTTGGATCAGTCTTGTGAGAAGACACATCCTTGTCTCACACCTTTTCCTAATTTTGAATATTTACTGAATTCATTTTCTGTCTGATTTTCTCTCAGTATAAGTTCCAGATTATTCTGATATCTTTTCCAAATAAATCAAGTTTACCTAGCAGTTCAAATAGTTCTTTGTGTTGTGCATGATCAAACACTTTTGCATCATCTATAAAATATAGGAATACATCCTTTTGCATTTGTACTACTTTTTCTGATATCATTCTGTGCATGCCTTCAAATATTGCCACAAAATGCAAGTAGATTTCGATGTGATGACATTGATCTATAGAAAGATTTAGAAACTGCTGATTCAGCCATCAGTTAATTTCTCCAATGTATGTAGACATTTAGACCATCCCCTAATGTTTATTTACAAAAAGTATATATGTATGTTTTATTTTATTTAGATTGAAATCAGCCCGTGATGTTGTAAGCCGAACTGGCCATTCTTTAGCACTTGGTTGCCTGCACCGCTACGTGGGTGGTATGGGATCTGGTCAGCATCTCAACACCAGTGTCAGCATCCTCCTTGCTTTGGCCCAAGATTTTAACTCACCTGTTGTCCAGGTAAGCTGCTATTCCATTCTAATCATTTGCTTGTTAATTTGTTTTATAACATTTAAATCCATCTATCAATATATGAAAATTAGTGTATGTGATTCACTATTGTAGTGATCCGAGTTCTGTTTTTTAGGTGTGTATGGTACTTAGTAATGGAACAATACCCATTAAAAAGCTCTTAATTTTTATCTGAATTTCTGGGATGAGGAGTTATCATCATTTACATTTATATTCAAGCTATTTTCTTCATCTTTGTTGTTGTTAACATGATTTCCTTGTTGCTTCTGGTGTTCCTCAAGTGTATATTGATCTGGGTAATCTTCTTTGTAGAATACCCAGATTGATATACACCTGAGGAAGGCTAGAGGGTACAACAGTTGAAACATTGTAATAACAACAAAGAAGAGGACAATAGTCCAAATATAAATAGTGTAAATAAAAGAATAAAGCAATTTCCAGTTCAATTTGCAACTTATTGATATTATGACAACATTCTGTTCTCCCTAATAATAATGATCCAATTTTTGTGTTCTTTATCATGGCTAAAAAGAAAATCATATCAACATTTAGAGAAAAGAATATGAGATTACAAATCGCTCTCTAGAATTTTGTTAGTTTTTCATATTTTCCAATGAAATATTTTTTTTTACGAAAACTTATTGCCATGTATCATTATTTTATACAAAAATTATGAATCTTTTCCTTTTGTCTTTTATCATGCCCCTTTTATTTCAGAAACAAATTTTCTAAATTGAGAACAATTACATATAAAAATCATTTAACAATATCCTCTTCCTGCTAATTAGGGATTAGTATTAGGTTGGTGCAAAAATAATGTCGTTTTTTGAAGTTCAACTTAACGTCAAAAAACGACATTATTTTCGCACCAACCCAATAGAAATAAGAGTAAAGTTCACTTGTATTTTAAATGGAGTAGGATTTTGCTAATTAGTCTCCCCCTTATTTTCAAATAACTATAATTTGTCAAATTGAATTAAAAAGATTATACAATAATATTCTATTGTATAACCTTTTCTACTGTTAATGTTAAAAATTGAAAAAAATGCACAGTTGTCTGCTCTTGTCTGCTGGATTGATTTAAAGTTTTTTCTTGCTAGATTTTCAAAATAAAAACATTCTGAAAATTTTATGCCTTCATGTTCTTGATATTATTACATTTTGGCCACTTCATTCTTCAATCATTGTTAGCTGTATAATCTATAAGAGAAAAAGTTTTTTTCAGAAAATGCCTGCATAAAAACAATTGCTAATATGCCAGATGGATCAGTAATGTAACATTAAAAGCATCATTGAAACCATGCTTTCACCTATATACCCATCTAGAGTTCACTCTATACACATGAAAGTTTCCCCAGAATCATTGTCAAACAAAGAAATGTAATGCTGAAATCTATGCTATGCTATCTCTTTCAACTTTCTAACTCTCCAGCAGTGCTCTCTAGCAATTATATGAACTTCATCCCAGTGAGTGTATTATATCTTCTCCTCCTCAAATTCTATTTTCTTATCACTATTTTTTTTTCAATCTTCTAAATAATGAGGGCTGGCTTGTCTTGAAAAATTGACTTTTGAAATCTTATCCTTTACCAAGATTCTAATATTGGCACAACTGGGAAATCTACAACTATCTCAGCCAATAAGCAGTCTTATAGCTGTTTGTTGAGTTTATATAAGCAAGAAACAACCAATGTTATTTCCAATTTTATGATTCACTGGTAAAATGTTTTGCACAAAATTTCTTTAAGGAGATTCTTATTTATATAAACATAGAATTACTCATTCATATGTGATACAAAACTGATGGTAAAATTATTGCAAAATAAAGGTTCCAAAAATCATATGAACAAAATAATATCAAAATCTATAGCTGATAACAACTTTGATCCACAAATACAGTTTGTAAAGAAAGGAGGTTCTATGTTAATAGTTTCTTCTTTTGCACTTCCTGCATGTGGAAGTCTTTTCTGGTATCCTGCTGACCTTCAAAAATTTAAATGCAATCACCTGTTTTCTTGAATCATATTGTCCTCCCCATTTCTTTTACTCTCTGCAACCCCTTGCATCCTAGTGGCTTTTATTGCCTTGAAATGATTAAAACAAAATAATAAAAAGACTCTCTTCTACAGAAATATCAGGAATGGTGGCTAATATACCAACTAGTTTGGTTTGTTCCTAACAGTGCACACCATGCAGATGGTGCCATTCTCAGCACCCCATATAAAAGAGTGGTCTCTATTCATACACCTGAGGGCTTACAGCCATATCACATTGAAACACTAGTTCTCGTATGATCACTGAAGTTAAGCAATATCAAACCTGGTCAATACTTAGATGGGTGACCACTTGGGTATACCACGTGCTGTAAGCTGGGATGTGTGGGTGTGGATAATGGATCAGAAGTGGAAATCAGAGAGCCAAGTTCCAGTTCCAGATAGGTTTGTTATATATTTGCAAATACTCTTAGGAAAGGTATGAATCCACTTCTCCTCCTCCCCAGCTATGGGTTAATTAGTAGGAATTGTATCAGTAAAATCATTATTATCTCAAAGAAATTCTTACAATCTGAAAATATTTTCTGGCTATAAATAACCTGTAAAAGGTTGATAAACTGTAAAAAGCAAATCAATCAATCATACATGTGAAGAAGGCAGTAGAATAGATCAGCCAAAATGTTGAGATAGAAACAGGAGCAACATCATAAGTTCAATCATCTGAGAAAAATATTAGAAAGCTTAATTTATTTATGGTTTAACCCATTAAATGCCCACTGTCCCATTTTTGGGATGGTTATGGTAACATTAGCCATTTCCCTTTAAGGAAACATTTAGCATTCATTGACCAAGCAGCAAGTACTGTTTTTGGTTGAAATATTTTTTTATTTTTTTTTTTTTTAATCAGTAAAATTTTTTTGAAGCCATTTTTTAGGAAAACAGGTTTTGCAAGTCCATTTGCTTTTACCACCCTTTCCTGTATTGATGGGGGTTTCCTTCAAAACCTATTTGAAATGGTGTGGAATGTTAACATCATGGTTATGTCATTACTTTCTCTCCAAGTTGCATGTGCTATCCATTTTAGTTGTTGCTACTATTGGTAATCCTCAAGTGATGTGGTTTATATTATTTGGTTGTGATTCTATAGCACCATTCTACAAAGTTCAAAGAATGGTGATCTTTGCCAAGACCCTCATCCCTTATTCACTCTTTTACCACTATTGATCTTAGGAAACAGTTTTATACAACTGACAATTTAGATATTTCTGAACCAGTTTGGCACCATACATAGCATTCATATGAAAGTCTCAATCTGATGAGGCTATTTAAGTACATGACTCTAGTTTTCAGGTTAATGTTTTGGTTTTGTACCAATTTGTGGTGTTGGATGAAACTACCTCTGGTAATGATGAATTTTAATGTGTAATAGGTAGAAACCTATAATGAACACTGAATTTGTATTTTAATTTTCATAATTTTAATGTGTTAATGAAGTGTTCTTTAATAATTTTCCTTATCTGTGAATTAATTCTGATGAGCATTTTGTGAACCTTCTAGGTGTGGGCCCTTCATGCTCTTGCTCTGATTGCTGACTCTGGAGGCCCAATGTTCCGTGGTTATGTGGAGCCGACCCTGTCCCTGGTGCTACAGTTACTATTAACAGTACCACCTGCTACTGTGGATGTCCATCAATGTCTTGGAAAATGTCTCTCAGCCCTCATCACCTCCATTGGCCCAGAATTACAAGGTTTGTATCAATAAAACGGTTAGACAAGGGAAATGGGCTTACATTTCAAAATCAACACCAATCAGAAAAGCTTTTGGCATCACACTCAACTAAGCTGAAAGAAAACAACTTTTTGAAGATTAGGATTATGGTTTGAAGAAATGAATATAAAATTTTTCTTTACAAAAAAATAAATTTAGAAAAATTCAATTCTCTGCAAAGTTGAAAACTAAAAGTTAAATAAAATTTGGCAAAGAACAAAGCTGGTTATAAGATCTCTCTTTACAGAAGAATTAAGAAAAACAATTTTTATTTAAATTTCAAAATGATTATTATAATTTGTGGGTATCACCTGTTAAAACAGGACACTTCTTTATTAAAAAATAAATTTAAAAAAAAGAAGAAAATAATGCAGATGAATATATGCAAAGCCTTTTTCTTTCAAGGTTTATCCAAGAAATACATTTGTAAAACCTGACATACATTAAGTAGATTGGTCTACTCATAAAAATAGGGAAAACATTTTTGGAAATAATTTTTGTAGTATTCTTCGTATTAATATTCCTTAGACATTGTCATTTGTCAAAATCAAAAAATATTGAGTTTTTTGTTGTTTTTTAATCCATTTAGAATAGTCGTTCTGTTGATAATCGCAATACAGTGAAAAAAATCATCAGTAAGAAAATGTTTGTAAGAAAACAAGAATTTGCATGGTCTTCAATCTGTGTGTGTGTGTGTGTGTGTGTATATATATATATATATATATATATCACTCTCCCTCCCTCTAAATCTTTATCTATCACTCTCTCTCCCTCTAAATCTTTATCTATCACTCCCCACTAGCTCTCCCTCTTTTATATATATATATATCTCGCTCTCCCTCCCTCCAGCTCTCTTGCTCTCATACATGCATAAATTCTATTTTCTTTCATCTTTTTTCCTCCCTATTTCGAAACTCATTGGTGATTCCTTCAGCTTGATGGATGTTTTTTTTCTAGTGTGGTTTACTAGTGAAGGTGTACATATCCAAAAAGTGAATATTGGCACTTATTTAAAACTTTATAACCATTTCAGACATCTTTAACCCCCACCTATCCATAATGCCTCTCTTTTGTAAGCCTGTTTTTTCTTTTCTCCTTGTTTTGACTAGTTAACTTACCCATTACATGCCCCCGTCCTATAATCATCTTCTATACTAATTCAAATGGGGGGTATGGTATGCACATGCATCCCGAGCAACTCTCACTACATCTGCTTCTCCCAATGATTCCTTTAAACTTCAAGTACATGAGTGAGCTTGTCTCAATGTCTTTAGGTCTCTGATCAGTACAATGTTTCTGACCCAAGGAAGGGCTTCTGTTGCCTTGACTTCTGGGCATCATGCGTATATCTTCTCTCCTTTGGAACATCATGCATATATCTTCTCTTCTCGGTTGATTGTTTCTTTGTTAAGGGTGCTGGAGGTAGACATTTTTTAGGTTTTAGCATTATCCGCCTGATAGGGATCCGAAACTTTAAGTAATTTGAAGAAGGCTATCCTATCAGTAGGTGTATAATATTGGGGCAATTGTTCTCTGGATCATGTAGTAGTCTCCAGTGAGGCATCTCAATACCATGATGAAGGGTACTGCTATGGCTGTATCTCAGGACAATTCTCTCCAAGGTATTTACACTTGCAACTCTTTTGAGTGTGTCTCTCTCCATATCCACTAGTCTTCAAACAACCAATACACACATGAAACCAGTTAAAATGCAAATGAACAAAACTAGCAAACCCAACCTAAAAAAAAAAAAAAGAAAGTAGACCCCCATGTATACTATCCCCTACAACAATGTGAGGAGGCTAGGTTCCAACTTTCCAGAAGAGGAAAACCATCTACTTCAGACTCAACCAGACCTCCTGTTACTATGAAATCTGTATCAATGCTTCAAGCACACTAGTGGCACTCACAGTCCCAGGCTACTCCCTTGTTACAGCTAAACATGACCACCTAAAACGCCACAGCCACTGTCTAGGAACTTACATCAAAGACGAGTTTCCTTGTGACAAAATTTTATCCTCATATAAAACTTACTTTGTTAGGTACAAATTGAAAACTGACCCTTGTAAAATTTTAATAGCCTCTATCTAATAAATAAATATATATATAATATTAGTGGAAAATATACATACATATGCAAAATATATATAAAAAAATACCCATACATGTATATTTTCAGAAAAAAATTTTCCAAGAGGAAGAATCCAGGTAGAACTCAATGTCTAGGACAGAGTAAGGATATAATAAAAAGGCTTTAGTGTTTAAGCCTTTCTATTATATATATATATATATATATATATATATATATATATATATATACAATTCAAGAAAGAAATTCAGATTACCAACACACAAACAGAAAATGTCTCATATCGAGAATATTTAACATTGAACATGAGGAAAAATTAATTATTTTTAATAATATGTGGAAATCTCCACTTTTACCTAAGACAGTGTGAGACCAGAAACCCGTAATCGTAAAAATTTTGTAAAACAAAGCATAATATTTTTTCTAAATAAATCCACATTACAACCAAAAAACGTTTGCGGCACCTCTCTTCTCTTCTTTTTAATATACATACTTTTCTCTCGTTGGAACCACTACATTATATTTCTTTTATATATATATATATATATATATATATATATATATATATATATATAATTTATTTATTTTAGGATATTAAAACAAAAATGATAAAAATTGCTGCACAATTACAATTATGTTTCAACCCTACGAATGTGTCTCCTCAAGCGATGGTAAACTACTGGCGAGTTATATTTACCTCTATTTTGTATTGACCCCTTTTTTTAAATTAAATGTTACAGACAGGGGAATTATACTCCGTTTGCTCTCATTTTACTTGGAGATATATATATATATTTGTTTGAAAAATGAGAAAATCGGCAGTTAAGTGCTGAAACCTCACAATGAGTGGAACAAACAATTACAAAAAGATTTGTCTCCAAACTCTGGAGTTGGGGTGCTGAATATATTAGGTTGGTGCAAAAATAATTTCGTTTTCTCACATAGTAACATATGTTAGAAAACGAAATTATTTTTGCACCAACCTAATAACATCAATCAGCTATGTGACAAATTGAGGCTCAAGCAGATCAGTTCCTAGGAACTGACAGCCCAACACCAGCACAGGAAATTTGATTATAGTGGTGAAGGTTTTGTGCAGAACCATCCACACTTTTTGAAGGTCCAAATACAGAGACCTGGAGCACAACATGCCACAAAATCCCCAAATGACCCTCCACAGGTTTTGAATTTAGAGTTGTCCTTCTCCTAGACCAGTTGCCATCCAAGGCTATAGAACCCAGTCTGTCCTGCTATTTACTGATAGCTGGAGGAAGAAGATGAGGATTCATACCTTTCCCAAGGGTATTAGCACATAAGTGAATGTAATGGTTTTAAGTGGAATTCAAACTCGGTTCTCAGATTCCTCAATCCAAGCCGCTAACCATTACTCCACCATGCCTCATATATATATATATATATATGAGAGAGAGATATGTAGTACATGTAAAATCCGGGGTAAGTAATCCAATTAATATAAAACATTAAAAGTGAGCTCAATATATTTATTTTAGAGTATAGAAATGAATTACATATAAATGAAACTCGGTTGTACCCTATTTTTATATGACCATTTTGCTCCTCTGGAGCTTGTCAATACTAAAATGTTTGATAAAAAATGAATTGTAATGTTTTTTTTTTTAAAATAGAAAAAGAAGAGAAGAGGAAGATAGAAAAAAAAGAAAAATAAACACCCAAGTAGAAAGACAGAGCATATGCATATATATATATATATATATATATATGAAACACTGATAATTACTGTAATTATCATTTTCTTTTTTTGTTTGCAGGTAATACAACCTCAATTGCAGTGGCCCGCCTCTACTGTTTAGTATGCTGTGCAGTGATGCAGGACCACCCTGATTCTTTGGTTCAGGCAGAAGCCATTGCCTGCCTCCAGCAACTGCACATGTTTGCACCACGCCATGTCAACCTTACCACACTGGTGCCACATTTAAGTGTAAGTATTTATGAGAAAACTGGTAAAACTAAATAATATTAAAATGTCAATAAATGATCAGTTCGGTAAAACAGGTATTTACTCTCTCAACAATTTTTATTGTTTTAAAAAAGCTGTTTAGAATTTCAATAACAACAATGGTACACACTATTTAGTTGTTCTATTGTTCATTTAGATTGTTTAAGATTCATTTTATATTTACAAAATTATAAAATATGCGAACCAACTACAATGTAATATTTATTATTTACCATTTATAAAGGTTTATTATTTCTGATTTTATGAAGAAATAAATAAGAAAAGAGATTTTTTTTTTTATTTCAGAGTTAAGCTACTAAAATTACTATTGCAAGAGGAAATTTCAGACCTTGAAAGGATTAAAGAGAATGCAATGAGATAGCTGATGTTGATCCCAAAAGAGGAATTTGTAAACTTTTTAAAGGATGTGGGGCGGTGTGGGTGGGGGGTCACATGTATAGTCACAAGAGGAGTACTTTGATGAGTACTACATCAACATTATCTTAGGTAGACTAACATTGTATTAATATTTAACAACTGGCTTCTTTCTGGACAGGTAACATATATTTTACTTTGAAATTCATTTTGCCATAATAATTATGAAAAAAAAAGAAGAAGAATTTCCTCATTCATTTACTTTACAATATGCAGATATATTAAAAGCAATGGAGCACCTCGGCATGGTGTAATGGTAAGCAAGCTTGTCTTGCTAGGTCAATTACGACTGAAAAGGGAGTTCAGTCCTCACTAGTTGCCCTATACTTTCGGCCTTGTGCTACATCTAAGCTCTGCTTAGAAAATAACTATATTAAAAGCAATAACCTTTAAAAAATGTGCTTAAGCCACATCATGTTAAAACACCAATTCCAGTATGATCACTGAAGTTAAGCAATATTGGCCTGGTCAGTACCTAGATAGGGTAACCACATGGGAATACCAGGTGTTGGATATGTGAGTGGTATAATCGATAATGGCTTGGAATTGTTAATCTGACAGCCAAGTTCTAAATCCCATTGGGTTCGTTATATTCACTTATGTGCACATAGCCTTGGGAAATGAATCCACGTCTTCTCTCTCAGCTATGGGTTAATTGCATAAGACTTGTATCAGTAAATCATTATTTTCAAAAAGTTCTTACAATCTAAAAATATTTTAGCAAAGGGTTGATAAGCTATAGAAATTGAATAAATCAATCAAAGCAATTGTGATAAAATGATAATCACATTTACAGTATAAAAATTTATTGAAAATAACCTTTGAAAATCTGACTCCAGAGTAATGATGTGTTATTAACATATTACATTTTAAAAACTGGACCAATGAAAATTCCAAAATGGTTGACAACTAACATACCATAATACTCTTGCATTTTTATATATTTCTGCAATTACTGACAGAATAGTACTATTATATGCATATTGAATATAATATTCGATATAATCACTTTACATAGCGTGCATGAAACATTTGTAATAGACGTCCTGGTTAAGACCATAAATTACATCTGCGTCCAGGGTAAGACGATAAACTACGTCCAGCAGCAAGGCCTCAGATCAGAAGGTTTTGAGGAGTGTGGAACCACCTCTTAATTGCTGGTGTTCTCAGGTTCATCCTGACCCAGGGTGGTAGCACCTGGGAGGGTCCCAATTATGGGCAAATAGTTACCCCCAAACTGGGGTCAAAACACTATGAAAGTGTAAAAATAGGTTTTAGTACCAGCAATACTTTTTTGAAAAAATTATTATCAGCCATACTTTTATAAAGGAAATAAATATTACCAGCAATACACTTTTGGAAAAAAATATTGCCAGCAATAAAAATCTTCTTAGCATTAAATAACCTATTGAGGTTGATATGCTGTAAAACAAACTAAACTAAACATTTGTGATAGAAACTTGAGTTTATCAGTAATATAAATTAATTCTTGTGTGATGTTAGTGATGAGCAAGGTGAAAGATTTCACCCAGACATTAAATGAAGAACAGTATCAAATAAGATGGAACACAAGAATGATGGCTGACTACTGCTGGAACTTAAAACAAGACAAATCTATTAATCATTAATGAAAATCAAATAAACAATGACTACTAATTTCTCTCAATATTCAAATTTTAATCTCTTATTGGGTTATATTTCTTTTGGGGTCCAGAAGTTGTTTTATTTCACACTAACATTGTGTGTAAGCTTCAAATGAGCATTTATTTTTTCTGTGCACTTACAGTGACCTAACCCAATCAGGACTGTTTTTTTATGTAGAATATGGCATTGTGGAGCAAGAAAACTAAAGCTAATGGTGGAAGATGGATGTTATTTTTGGATTCAGCTCACAAAAAATTTTCAAAATTAGCCAAAATAGCCCTTGCATCTTTGTCACAAAAAAAATTGTAGGTCTGTGTTATTTAGACAGCATGATTACATGTTTACTCTGAAGTTCATAATCTTCCATCTGTACTTTTGAAGTTAGTTTGATTCCTTGTTCTACAAAGATGAGAACAATTGTCTACATGTAAATAGTGTAATTAATAACTCCTCATTCCAGAAATTCAGGCTGAAACAAGTCTTCATCTTTTGTTGTTATTACATTTTAGCAGACATCTGAAGAAGCCTGGAGAGCACAATGGCTGAAATATTGTGAGAATAACAACAATCTGTTTTTGTTTTAATTAAGTTTAATGCATTTTATCAATAAATGAGACTAATCAAGTAATTAGAATTATGAAAAAAACAAAAAAAACATTTAGTATTTTTCAGTTAATTCTATCTTATACTCCAAAAGAATATTGGCCTAATGGATGCATCATTTCTCTGCCTATATCCAAGCATGATTTTTTTTAAAAAAAAACACTAAAAAAAGAAAATAGACGAAAAGGTGGCTTCAGTTTTTATTTATAGCATAAGAAAAGTGTAATGGTGAGATTGATAAACAAGCAAAGTCATTTTTTCTTTCTTTTGTTACAGGAAATTCTCAGTAGCCCCCATCTTTTACTTCGACGAGCTGCAGTAGCCTGTCTCCGGCAACTAGTCACAAGGGAGGCCCGGGAAGTGAGCGAGCTGGCCCTAGCCCTGCCTGGCACTCCACTGGACACAGGCATAACCAGTGGCAAGGACAATGCTAAGTCTATGTATGAGAGTGGTCTGGAAGGTACTTTGTTCAGCATGCTGGACACTGAAGTGGACAATAAGCTGACCTCAGATGTCCAAGACACACTTCTCAGTCTCTTACAGTCTCTGGCTGTCAGGAACCTCACTCGTTGGTTAACACTTCTCAAAGAGGTGCTGTCTGCTTCCACAGGTATGTTCAGTTTAATTTTTCTTCTCTTTTATTATTAAGCTATATATATAATTATTTATTTAAAAATATGATTCCAACACGCTACATAAGAGTTCTCATGTTTCAAAACAAGAGCCGAAAACTTCAATATAATTATTTGAATTAAATTGAATTAACGTACTAAGCTCTGTTCCATCTTCAAGCGAAATTTTTTTTTGAATAACTTATTTCTAAAATTTACACGTTTTATAAGCATATTCATTTTTGAAATCGAAATTACTATGGTAACGGCTCGAGCAATTGTTTAAAGAAAAGGGGCATAAGGTGTTAATATTTTGTATCAATATCTCAGTTACATTCACAGATGTCAAGTCAGGGTAAGGTTGGGGTGTCTAAATTTAAAGCGAAAGATCACATCGTCTAGTCTGGTTAAATGTCTATGGAGATTTATTTATTTTTTTATTTTTATTTTTTTCTGAAAGGGTTTTGTGTATATAAAAACTGTCGTAAGTTGCTAACATTTGTTTTTTGACGACTTCATGAAGGGTTATCTTTTTTTTGTAGGGCATTTGTACTATTTATTAGAACTATGGAGTTTAAAAATTATTTTATTGTTTGTTTGTTTTTATGCTAATTATTCAATGTGAAAACTTGATGATGTCGGAAAAAAAAAATTGTGTATTTAGGCACTAAATTCTATTTTAGGCATGTCTGATTGAATAAATTAAAATTAAAGCCAGCACTGAACAGAATCAACTATGAATACTGCAGTAATGTTCTGAGATGCCTATAAAAGAAGTTTTTCACACTTTAATGAATGAATGCATGCATGCATGACCATGACATTATAACATGGGGAAAAAACATTCCATAATGGATAATTTTTTCACATTCTAATGAACATTCAAGAGTCAACCGTTTTGCATTTAAAAGCATAATGAAAAATTATGGTAATGGATAATGATGCACAGCTTTGTATAAATACTTGTACTAATGAACAACATATAGTTTTGCATTACTTGAACCCCTGAAGATGATCTTGGAAAAAGATCAAAAGTACTTAGGAAATGAAAATAAAAGAAATTTGAACAGCTATAGCACATTTCTCTCATCCTTCAACATTAATACACGGAAGATTATTCGTGAGTACAAACGGATTTTGTTAAAAATTAACAGACATAATGTCTGTAATTTATTCAATCAGAAGTATATATATATATATATATATATATATATATATATATATACACTTTTGTGTAGATTCTGTATACCTTATACAAAATAACAGTTCATTTTAGCATATCTTTAGTTTTCTAGTCTTTATTGTGGAATAATTAGTCATGATTAAGTGTAATTGACAGAATTCTGAACAAATGGAATTGATAAAAGTTCTCAATAGGCAATAAGAGGAAAAAGAACAAGGTAATAACAAGCCAACAATATATGCAGGATCAGATTATCCTCTAGGCTAATATAGGCTTGGTTATAATGCTTGTTATAAAAAATTGTTTTATTTTGTTTTTTTACTATGGTTGTGTTTTTCTTACATTCATATAACACCATGTAGTAGCCTTCTACCTTGACTGGCTCTTGGGCCTTCCATTTGATGAACATTAGTTAAAAAAAAAAAAAAAAACAAACAAAATTCCCAATGCTGATAAAAATTCATTTTTTACGGTACTTGACAGAAAATTATTGGCTAAAATGTTTTAATGTTGAATATTATTCTTTTCTCTGCCAGATACAAGCAGCGTACTTCATGAAGGAGCCCCTGAAGAAGAAATGGCAGATAAAGATGATGATGAAGATGATGATGCTGCTTTAAAAGTAGCTGAAGCAGATGTTACTCACCCATCTGTTGCTCCAAGGTTGGTAGGAGAAAGAGAAAACGGTTGCTGGGAACAACCAGAGGTCATAGGATTTTGGGTGGGGGGTGAATAGGTAACCGGACAGATAGAAAAATTTGCAGCACTGAAGATTGATGAGTGCCAGTTCCTTAAAACTGGTTTTATTTTTGTTAGTCTCTCTCTAACAGGCATTTTTATAAACAAATTTTTGTATTCTTTGTTACTTATCATCCACTTTCAAAAAAAGGTAAACACCTAAGTGCAGACTAAACACTAATTAGTGAATTGCACCTGCTATGATTTCTGATTCTTTATTTAATTTTTTTCAGATTTTTCTGTGAAGTGTGTTCTGTTAACAGATTAAGCATAAATACTAACCCATTATACCCAGTCAAGATCAGTTAACTCTCTTGAACTATATAATTCTGAGTAGAATTTAAGGCTGGAATTTGAAAATATTATTAAATTCTAAAGTTTATATTGATGTAATGGCAGCTTTTAATGGTTAGTCTAACATACTCATAGGATATACTTGATGATAGTCACCATCTTGTCTTTACAAATATCTAAACAGATTCAAAGTCAGCTTTATGTTGTATAGTAAGTTATGCTGGCAAGATATCTCATGAGAAATGTTCTTGTTCTGAAGTGACTGATATTGTTATAGTAAGTTCTTTGAGACCTGTTAGCAGTTTTGGTTACCAAACATATGTTTTTTTGTTTTTTTTTATACTAATGTCATTGTAAAAGCTATGAACCTAAAAATTAATTTGCACTTAAATGCATATCCAGCTTTTAACAGACAGCTATCAGTGTCAGAAGTAGTAAGTGAATAAAGAAAATGTTTTATACTAGTAACTTAAGATACTATTGTATGAGATGCACAGAAAAACTACCAATAATATGCAAAAGTCTTAGGTTGACAATTAATTTAAAAAAATAATTTTATAGGTAGATTAGAAGGGACTATAATACTTATTACTTAGTCTATTAATAAAAATACATGTTGCAGATATGTGAATGCTTAACACTTTCACTGTGGTATTATTGCAGCATTGTTGCTTGGCTGTGCTGGCCCATTTTTGGGAAAATAAGAAATTGTCATTTACTGGAAATAAACAACTATAAAAACACTGATGGCAATTTCTTGTAGGTTCTGCTATTTTGACTACAATCGGATACTACACAATACAGGCAAAGCCAAATAAAACCTTACCCCAACACACATGATATAATAAAAATAACATCACAAAACAGGCTGTGTTGTATGCTATTACATATGTACACTGGTTTGGAAATAACATTAAGTGCTAGTTAGTTTATGAAACAGTCTAGTGATCATCAATGTTTGGAAAATGTATATGTATGCCAACAGCAGCCGATGTAAGTTTAATGAAGGCATATAAATATGTTTACAGCAGTAAAAATATTAAATAAAAATATATCTTTCTAATTCTCCATGTTAAAATTTGTTCAAATATAAATCACAGACAACTGCCTCCAATTTTACTTACTTTTCTGGTTTTCTTTAAAATTTCCTTGAGCCCATCTTTAAACTTCATTGTTTCTTTCTTGGGTTCAGCAATCTCATACTGATTTTATAATATTTATGCTAGCCTGGAACTAGCCCTTAGAAGAGGTGAAATCAATGAAAATATTTAACTAAATTGACAAATGAGTCCAAGAAATTCTTTACATTAAACCCATTTGTATTTGACCAATGAAATGCAACTACAGTACTGGGCTGCCATTTTTTCTCCTTTGGAAGAGGCTATGATATTCATTTTGTTTTAAAATACATGTAGCACACACACACACACACACACACATATATATATATATATATATATATATATATATATATATATAAAATGGGTGTTGACTCATGGAATGAGTATGACCATTGCTGTGAAGTATTCCAGCTTATATGGGTTTGGGAAATCAGTTTTCCATCCTCTGAGGCTGGTTGCCAACCAAGGCTGAAGAGCCAAGTCAGTTCTATTTAACCCATAGCTTAGGGAGAGAAGAGGTAAATCTACACCTTTGTCAAGAGTATTTGTGTGAAAGTAAATGTCACAAGAATGGAATTCAAACTTGGTTCACCAGTTTCTCATTATAAGCCACTGACCACTACACCACCTGTGCATCCTCACACTATCTCTCTCTTAACTACTTCAGACAATTTCTTTTTTCTCTGGCTTTGTATTTATTATTATTATTAATGCCATTCTCCATATCTAGAGGTTTCTATATGTTATCAGTGTCAGTGAGTAATATCATATTTATAAAAGATCATATCAGTCACTCCAGAACAAGGAAATTTCTCATGAGATATCTTGCCAGCATGTTACATATGCTTTAAATACAATGTATAAATTTAGATTGTTTTTACTTCTGCAAATTAAAGCCAGTAGAGATCCTTTCCAGTTTGCATGTAGGACAGTTTGACCTTTCTAAGGTAAACTGCCTTGGAGTTTCCTTAAGTAATTTGAATTTATATTAAACCATTAAAATCCTAAAATGTCCTTTAAAACTTCTGAACTGTCTCCTCTCTGACTTCAACTGTCTCCTCTCTGACTTCAACTGTCTCCTCTCTGACTTCAACTGTCTCCTCTCTGACTTCAACCGTCTCCTCTCTGACTTCAACCGTCTCCTCTCTGACTTCAACCGTCTCCTCTCTCTTCAACCGTCTCTCTCTGACTTCAACCGTCTCCTCTCTGACTTCAACCGTCTCCTCTCTGACTTCAACCGTCTCCTCTCTGACTTCAACCGTCTCCTCTCTGACTTCAACCGTCTCCTCTCTCTGACTTCAACTGTCTCCTCTCTGACTTCAACTGTCTCCTCTCTGACTTCAACTGTCTCCTCTCTCTGACTTCAACTGTCTCCTCTCTGACTTCAACTGTCTCCTCTCTGACTTCAACTGTCTCCTCTGACTTCAACTGTCTCCTCTCTGACTTCAACTGTCTCCTCTCTTCAACTGTCTCTTCAACTTCTCCTCTCTGACTTCAACCGTCTCCTCTCTGACTTCAACTCTCCTCTCCCCACTTCCAACCCGTCTCCTCTCTGACTTCAACCGTCTCCTCTCTGCTTCAACCGTCTCCTCTCCCCAGCTTCAACCGTCTCCTCTCTGACTTCAACCGTCTCCTCTCTGACTTCAACCGTCTCCTCTCTGACTTCAACCGTCTCCTCTCTGACTTCAACTGTCTCCTCTCTGACTTCAACTGTCTCCTCTCTGACTTCAACTGTCTCCTCTCTGACTTCAACTGTCTCCTCTCTGACTTCAACTGTCTCCTCTCTGACTTCAACTGTCTCCTCTCTGACTTCAACTGTCTCCTCTCTGACTTCAACTGTCTCCTCTCTGACTTCAACTGTCTCCTCTCTGACTTCAACTGTCTCCTCTCTGACTTCAGCTTAACACTTTTTCATAGTGCTGGATATATCTATTCAAATTGTTTTTATTAATATTTTACTTTTATTTACCTTTTCAAGGTGGCCCACTCGTGTGTTTGCTACAGATTGTCTACGAAAGATCATCTCCACTTGTGAAGGTCAAGAAGGACAATTTGATTTGATCAAAGCAAGAGAACTTCGGCAAAAGACTGGTACAAGTAAGTCTTATGTTTTTCATCTGTCACTGGTAGTTTTCTTTTCAGCTTAGACATTACACAATTTTAATACATGTGTACTGACATATATGAATTTTCTATTTCTGTACATTTACAGCAAATTATCTAATATCCACAGAAGAAAGATTTCAAGATACCTGAAAGTACAGATAATACAAAATCATATATAAAAAGTATATTTAAGCAAGTATTTATTAAATTCAATGAACTAAGTCTCTTTGTTTAATTTTTGTTGTTCTTTCCAAGTTTTAAATAAGAAAAGAAAAATACCAGCATGTAACAAAGGAAATCTTGCATGCCACACTGACAGCACATGTTTCTTGATAATGACTGAAACAATTGAATGTATTTGAACAAAAACCATAGAACAAATAAGAACTTTGGACAGTTTTTCCACAATTTTAATCCTGATATACAACGTTGTATTCAAAAATTGTAAAAATACAATGAACAAAATTAAACAAACAGACCTTGTCAGTTGAATTTAATAAAACATGTTGGCACACACACGGTAATAAAATTACAACGTATCACACATATAGTGCAGGTGTTAATGAAACAGTGTTCAATGTAATGAAAGAAAACAGATATATATAATTACTATCTCATAGCTCTAGCATGACTGAATTTCATGCACAATGCAATCTTCTAAAGATTGTATCGTGCTTGAAGTGTGAGATTGTGTGTGTATATATATATATATATATATATATATATATATATATATATATATACGTATGTCTGATATCACAGAACTTGTAAAAAGTTTTAAACAGACAAAACAGCATATTTATTTCCCAAACGGTAAACTTTTTTCGGCCAGCACCTCATCAGGAGAATCATCAGCACCTAGTAAGATGTTAATCACAGAATGTTAGACAAACTAGGAGGAAACTATAAACTATGACTAAAATACCATTTAATATTAAAAAGCGGGTAGAAAAATATGTGCAAAATGGATTTTGATGAGGAAAAATTGTCTGACATGACAGTGTATCAACTTTCCTAGCAGTAGATCTAGCAATTGATTCAATATAATAACTCCACTTCATGTCAGTGGAAAAACATGAGTCAAACAAGGCACATCTGTCTCTTCTTTCTTGTAGTCTTTTAGTGCATGCATCATTAATGTGGGATAAGAGAGGTTACATTTGTCAAGATCATTTTTTTAATATTACTGTCATAGATGTTCATGACTTACTGCTGTATTTCTATTCATCTGTTTTTTTTTTTTAAAACAAAATTTAATGGCTTATATTTACAGGGACTATCATTGTCTTTTCTGAGAACATTGATTCTATTTTGATCTTCTCATGGTTTTATTTTTGGCATGTTTTATATAATTCTCTGTCTGTTATTATTTGGATAGCAAATTTTAAGAAGCCTTGTTGTTTTCTATGGAATGCACATAGGCTGGCTGGCTTTGGTTTTAAAAAGACCTCAGGTACTACTATTATAAAAAGCATTGGTTCAATAAAAATATTTTGACTTCAGTCTCATTTCATCCAGACAAATCTTAAATTTTTTCATGCCTCTGATGTTTTCCTAACAATAGTTCATGTTTCTGTTTCAGGTAATTATTTGGTGTTACATCTGTCCGAGCTTGTGAGAATGGCATTTATGGCAGCTACATCGGACAGTAACCAATTACGGCTAGCTGGCCTAGCTGCCCTGCAAGTAAGTTGTTCTCTTTCTAACTGGCTACAAATTCCAATTTTCCCCCTTCTAAGAACATCTGAATCATTGCTGTCATCATTCGTAATGTCAATGTCCGGTTCATCCGTCATCTGAATCATTGCTGTCATCATTCGTAATGTCAATGTCCGGTTCATCCGTCATCTGAATCATTGCTGTCATCATTCGTGTCAATGTGTCAATCTGAATCCGTTCATCCGTCATCTGAATCATTGCTGTCATCATTCGTAATGTCAATGTCCGGTTCATCCGTCATCTGAATCATTGCTGTCATCATTCGTAATGTCAATGTCTGGTTCATCCGTCATCCAAATCATTGCTATCATTAGTTGTAATGTCAATGTCCAATTCATAAGAGTTGTCCAAATCAATATCATTGCTTGTAACGTCAATACCCAATTCATCAATAAAAATTCCCTCCTCTGCCAATGCTAAGTTCTCAAGAAGAAACGCCATTCTATAATTTTTTTTATTTTAAATCCTTGAAATAATCTAATGGTTCACTTCCAAAGCGTAAATCATAGGTTGGTTCATTTGTTGCCAAAAAAATAAAAATCCTGAACCTTTACTTCTTCGTTAAACTCTGTCCAATGCAGCACTGAAACATTGACATCTTCACTGGAACTCTTGTCATTGCCAGAATGACATTTATCATTGAAAACCTTCCTTCTTTCCTTGTTATAATCCTCATCAGAGTCATCCAAATCACTAATGACTGATTCATCAGTAAAAATTCTCTCTTCTGCCAATGCTATTTCTTCAGAGAGAAACACCTCAAACTCTTCTTCTCTCCCTGTCTGACATTGTTCATTCAACAAAAATTGTGAATTTCTTAAAAATTTCCGATCACAGCATGCTACATTTATGATGCCATTTCATTCAATAACATTCGTTTGTTCATTCAGAAGACAGCATTTCTAGTTGATTGTGTAACAGGTGTTAATGCTGTGTATTGAGATATGGTGCTACTCGATTGTGGATGTATTCAGACAATTCCAAACTGTAAGCATGTGAAACTGGCAAGTGCATTTTGGCAGGCTTAAAGGGTTAAATCTCAGAAGTGTATACCTATAGTAGAAATGAGTGAAATGAATAAGGTAACTAAAAGTCAGTTGTAGGAGTCTGGGAAACTCATTTAATATAAATCTTTCTTTGAACATTTCAGTCTCAAAATATCTTCAAAATAGACACCTGAAATGGTTGTATACAAATTGTATTTAGCAAAACCACAGAAAGAGCTCATCTCTTTTCTGCTCTTATTTAGTAGAAGGAACAATCTGAGTCAAAATAGTCCATATTTCTTTTCCCAATGTCTAAGATAACATATGTAATGCTATATAAGATTCTCTTCTTTTTATATTAACCTTTTTGACTGAGTGGCTGATATACCAACCACAGTGTAAAAATTGCATATACCCAGGTGGTCGGTATACCATCTAGAGGCCATACACAGTAAAAGCCCAACTAGGGAGATCCATACTCAACAAGAGATCAAAGTTCAAAAGGTTAATTTTACAATATTTTGTAATTAGGCTAGACACAGTTACTGATAATATACAGTGTGTGGGGAAACATCAGTTTACAGCATACGTTTCTTCTGTATGCTGTGTCCCTTTGAGATGTGGATGATCATGGTTCTCCACAACTTCTTATTCTTTTTAAAGTTTGTCTTTTTGCTATCACTCCTAATTCTTATCCTGTCAACCATTTACACAAGCTCATCAGGCAAGTCATTTGATTCTTTTTTTCTGTTCCACTTGCTTTCAATATGCCCTGTGAGTGTCAAATTCTCTAAGGACACTCATTATGTGCTAAAGAAATTTCATTTGTCATCAGTGTTAATTTGTTTTTACACTTGTCCTTCCTTTTTATTTTGTAGGATATCATTTTAAAATTTGCCGATGTTCCAGAACCTGAGTTTCCTGGCCATGTTATTTTGGAGCAGTTCCAAGCCCAGGTCTTTACTTTCTCCACTAAACGTCTTTTCTGAATTTACTTTTCATAATTTTATGATTCTACATATTTTCAATATATTGATTTTTCAATATGAAATTCTTGTTTAAAATTATAGAGGTTATAAAAAAAATTCAATTTTATTTAAATTTTCAATCTGCCAAAAACTAAGTTTAATTTTTTGTAACCATTTTGTTTAGATGAGCCTGAAGAGATCGGGTATTGGTTTTGTAAAAATAAGACTAATACTGAGATAAGTAATGAAGTCCCAAATGCTAATTTTAACAGGATGTCTGCAGAACAAGAATCAGTTTATATTGAAACTCAGATATATTTTCTTTCTAGGTTGGTGCTGCTCTTCGTCCCGCTTTTTCCCCAGAAACACCTTCTGATGTCACAGCAGCTGCATGTGAGGTAAGTTGATGGCAGTAAGTGTATTTCCAAACACACACATACTTCTAGGTGTTCTGATTAGAGTGCAATTATATATTTTGGTATATTTGTAAATCTTTGTATTTTTAAAGTGATGTGCAAAAGAAATGTACCAACTGACTAAATATTCAACTTGTTTGATTTTTAGTCGGAAGCTTTCTATGGTCATTCAGTACTGTCGTGCAGGTTATTGTATTCATATTGACAGAGTACAATGGGAGATAAGATCTGCATGCATGGTAATGCTGAAAATATTGCATGTAAAAATTAAGAACCAATAGGAACGAAATAGGGGTACATTTACTTAAATATTTAAGGACATTAAAAGTCAATCGGAATCTATTATAATTCTCATAGGCATTAATTAGCTTCATGTATGGAGAAATATGAATAGGAGTTCAAAATTTTTTAATCAGGACACAATTAGTAACTTCCTTTTTCTTATCATTTTATATATATATATATATATATATATATATATATATATGAAGAAAAATATACAGAAAAAACAAACAAAAATCCTAATATGCAATTATGCTGTTTTAATGTTAATATAATGTCAACGTCGGACATTTCAGTCTAGTAGACCATCCTCAGGACATATTCATAAAACATAATTAACATTAGACTATATTCAATTCAACATGAAAAGACAATGAACATATGAGTAAGACTGATCAAAACAGATAACTGAAATTTTTCAAGTTCAGCGTTCCGTTTCACAATATGATCACGTCGGCGTCATGTGGGCGATGTTGTGAAAACGTATTCCTAAAATAGAGTATATTAGGATTTTTGTTTGTTTTTTCCATATATTTTTCTTCATACTGTCGGATATATATCCATATATTTGCTTATATACATACATATATATATATATATATATATATATATATCTGATAGTGGGGTCATATTTTGGCAAGTCTGGATAAAAAACAAAATGTCTACTTGACAGAACATGTGTACCAATTCTCTGAATACATTTTCTAATTTTCTTTCCACTGAACACAACCACTGATATTGAGAAAATGTTTTCCTTTGGGGTTTGCAGCCTTTTCTCATTATGTTCATATGTGAGGGCCTTCCACTTTGTGATATATATATATATATATATATATAGTTTGTCTGAAACGTATACAGCCATTTTGAATGGCTTAAGAACAAGTTTTGTGACCTTGATGTAATTTGATAACTTAATAGAGGGGACTCTACTGAGCATGCATGAATAGATACTCTCTTAGGGTATTCAGTTGGCTGTAAGACACCACTGAGCAAGTTTGTGTACTGTGTTGTTACATGCACAATAATGTCTTGTACAGGTTTTTTTTTTCTTTTGTAAAATGTCATATCACTGGTTTATCAACAGCCTTACAGTCTAGGTTTGACTTTAACTTTCCACAAGGATAGAATAATCATTGAACTGCAGGGAAAGAAATTAAATAGAACACATGGTTGATGGCAATTCCAAAGAGAACATTGCCGATTGTTTAGAGAAGTGAAAGGAATAATACAGGAATAAGTAATGAAATCCCAAAAGGAATATTTTAAATGGAGTTAGGTGTCTTTGTCTTAGGTAAGCTGTTTTTTTTTTGTTTTTTTTTTTTAATTTATATTAAATATGGCTCTACAGACAGATCTGATATTAATGACACAGAATTTACTTTAAAACTTGCTTGGTGATGCATGACCATTATATTGGAATTAGTGAACTATAAAAACATATTCATGACTATATGAAAGTACACATCTTTACCAATGATTGTTACATTCACCTATATAATTAGTATTTTATTTTATTTTTTTTTCTCTTTCTAGGTGTGCAGTACTTGGATTGGTAGTGGTGTGGCCCGTGACCTCAATGACCTGAGACGTGTCCACCAACTGTTAGTGTCATCCCTTGCCAAACTAAAGACTGGCAAATTTTCTCCCTTGCTTTACAACGAGAGTGCATCAACCATGGAGAAATTATCTGTCCTTAAAGCCTGGGCTGAGGTTATTTGTGTTTTCTTATACTGTTTGAAATTGTTCTCTAATAATATTTTTAACGTGTAATTGTTGAGTAAAATAAAAAATTTATACACTGCTGTCCTCAAGGATGCATGATCCAGTGGATAAAGACGTTGGTTAGATCCAGTGAACAGATCCAAAGATTTGTGACTTCAATACCAAGCGACATCAGTGGCAAACCAAAACTTGGTGAGTTGTGTTAAAGGGAAATGACTAAGACATCCTGAAGAGACATGGCACATGGAACTAGAACAATCTACCCTAGTGGCTGAAATAAAAACTTCACTTCGAAATTCCAATCACCTGAAGAAGGCCAGTGTTCAACGGCTGAAACGTTGTGAATATGGCAATGAAGATGAGGATAATAATCTGAATAATGTAAATAATTCAAGAAAAAAAAATAAGTTTGATAGCCTTGAAAATAAGTGACATAACCCTTTTTAGTACAAGGTTTCTCTAACAAGATACTCTGATGATTTTTCATTTTGGCCAGCCTCCTTTGAACCTCATAGATTGGTACTACAGAATCACAAAGAACTTTACCAAATAACAGAAACTTCATCATTTTAGGACTTTCAATAGCAGCAACCACTAAAATGAATAGC